AAGGGACCATGGGAGGGGTGATGGACCATGGAATGGTGGGGAACCATGGGATGGTGGGGGACCATGGGAGGGTGGGGGACCATGGGAGGGTGATGGACCATGGGATGGTGGGGGACCATGGGATGGTGGGGGACCATGGGAGGGTGGGGGACCATGGGATGGTGTGGGACCATGGGAGGGTGATGGACCATGGGAGGCTGGGGGACCATGGGAGGGTGATGGACCATGGGATGGTGGGGGACCATGGGAGGGTGGGGGACCATGGGAGGGTGGGGGACCATGGGAGGGTGGGGGACCATGGGAGGGTGATGGACCATGGGAGGGTGGGGGACCATGGGAGGGTGATGGACCATGGGATGGTGGGGGACCATGGGAGGGTGGGGGACCATGGGAGGGTGGGGGACCATGGGAGGGTGGGGGACCATGGGAGGGTGATGGACCATGGGAGGGTGGGGGACCATGGGAGGGTGATGGACCATGGGATGGTGGGGGACCATGGGAGGGTGATGGACCATGGGAGGGTGGGGGACCATGGGAGGGTGGGGGACCATAGGAGGGTGATGGACCATGGGATGGTGGGGGACCATGGGAGGGTGATGGACCATGGGAGGGTGGGGGACCATGGGAGGGTGGGGGACCATGGGAGGGTGGGGGGACATGGGAGGGTGGGGGACCATGGAGGGTGGGGGACCATAGGAGGGTGATGGACCATGGGATGGTGGGGGACCATGGGAGGGTGATGGACCATGGGAGGGTGGGGGACCATGGGAGGGTGATGGACCATGGGAGGGTGGGGGACCATGGGAGGGTGGGGGACCATGGGAGGGTGGGGGACCATGGGAGGGTGATGGACCATGGGAGGGTGGGGGACCATGGGAGGGTGATGGACCATGGGAGGGTGGAGGACCATGAGAGTGTGGGGTACCATGGGAGGGTGGGGGACCATGGGAGGGTGGGGGACCATGGGAGAGTGATGGACCATGTGAGGGTGAGGGACCATGGGAGGGTGGGGGACCATGGGAGAGTGATGGACCATAAGTGGGTGGGGGACCATGGGAGGGTGGGGACCATGGGAGGGTGGGGGACCATGGGAGGGTGGGGAACCATGGGAGAGTGATGGACCATGGGAGGGTGGGGGACCATGGGAGGGTGGGGGACCATGGGAGGGTGGGGGACCATGGGAGGGTGGGGGACCATGGGAGAGTGATGGACCATGGGAGAGTGATGGACCATGGGAGGGTGGGGACTATGGGAGGGTGGGGGACCATGGGAGGGTGGGGGACCATGGGAGAGTGATAGACCATGGGAGGGTGGGGACCATGGGAGGGTGGGGACCATGGGAGGGTGGGGGACCATGGGAGAGTGATGGACCATGGGAGGGTGGGGGACCATGGGATGGTGGGGACCATGGGAGGGTGGGGGACCATGGGAGGGTGATGGACCATGGGATGGTGGGGGACCATGGGAGGGTGATGGACCATGGGAGGGTGGGGGACCATGGGAGGGTGATGGACCATGGGCGGGTGGGGGACCATGGGAGGGTGATGGACCATGGGATGGTGGGGGACCATGGGAGGGTGGGGGACCATGGTAGGGTGGGGGACCATAGGAGGGTGATGGACCATGGGATGGTGGGGGACCATGGGAGGGTGATGGACCATGGGAGGGTGGGGGACCATGGGAGGGTGGGGGACCATGGGAGGGTGGGGACCATGGGAGGGTGGGGGACCATGGGAGGGTGGGGGACCATAGGAGGGTGATGGACCATGGGATGGTGGGGGACCATGGGAGGGTGATGGACCATGGGAGGGTGGGGGACCATGGGAGGGTGGGGGACCATGGGAGGGTGGGGGACCATGGGATGGTGGGGGACCATGGGAGGGTGGGGGACCATGGGAGGGTGATGGACCATGGGAGGGTGGGGGACCATGGGAGGGTGATGGACCATGGGAGGGTGGAGGACCATGAGAGAGTGGGGTACCATGGGAGGGTGGGGGACCATTGGAGGGTGGGGGACCATGGGAGAGTGATGGACCATGTGAGGGTGAGGGACCATGGGAGGGTGGGGGACCATGGGAGAGTGATGGACCATGGGAGGGTGGGGACCATGGGAGGGTGGGGACCATGGGAGGGTGGGGGACCATGGGAGGGTGGGGGACCATGGGAGAGTGATGGACCATGGGAGGGTGGGGGACCATGGGAGGGTGGGGGACCATGGGAGGGTGGGGGACCATGGGAGGGTGGGGGACCATGGGAGGGTGGGGGACCATGGGAGAGTGATCGACCATGGGAGAGTGATGGACCATGGGAGGGTGGGGACTATGGGAGGGTGGGGGACCATGGGAGGGTGGGGGACCATGGGAGAGTGATAGACCATGGGAGGGTGGGGGACCATGGGAGGGTGGGGACCATGGGAGGGTGGGGGACCATGGGAGAGTGATGGACCATGGGAGGGTGGGGGACCATGGGATGGTGGGGGACCATGGGAGGGTGGGGGACCATGGGATGGTGGGGGACCATGGGAGGGTGATGGACCATGGGAGGCTGGGGGACCATGGGAGGGTGATGGACCATGGGATGGTGGGGGACCATGGGAGGGTGGGGGACCATGGGAGGGTGGGGGACCATGGGAGGGTGGGGGACCATGGGAGGGTGATGGACCATGGAGGGTGGGGGACCATGGGAGGGTGATGGACCATGGGATGGTGGGGGACCATGGGAGGGTGGGGGACCATGGGAGGGTGGGATGGACCATGGGAGGGTGGGGGACCATGGGAGGGTGATGGACCATGGGATGTTGGGGACCATGGGAGGGTGATGGACCATGGGAGGGGGGACCATGGGGGACCATGGGAGGGTGGGGGACCATGGGAGGGTGGGGGACCATAGGAGGGTGATGGACCATGGGATGGTGGGGACCATGGGAGGGTGATGGACCATGGGAGGGTGGGGGACCATGGGAGGGTGGGGGACCATGGGAGGGTGGGGGACCATGGGAGGGTGGGGGACCATGGGAGGGTGGGGGACCATAGGAGGGTGATGGACCATGGGATGGTGGGGGACCATGGGAGGGTGATGGACCATGGGAGGGTGGGGGACCATGGGAGGGTGATGGACCATGGGAGGGTGGGGGACCATGGGAGGGTGGGGGACCATGGGAGGGTGGGGGACCATGGGAGGGTGATGGACCATGGGAGGGTGGGGGACCATGGGAGGGTGATGGACCATGGGAGGGTGGAGGACCATGAGAGTGGGGTACCATGGGAGGGTGGGGGACCATGGGAGAGTGATGGACCATGTGAGGGTGAGGGACCATGGGAGGGTTGGGGACAATGGGAGAGTGATGGACCATGGGAGGGTGGGGGACCATGGGAGGGTGGGAGACCATGGGAGAGTGATGGACCATGGGAGGGTGGGGGACCATGGGAGGGTGGGGGACCATGGGAGGGTGGGGACCATGGGAGGGTGGGAGACCATGGGAGAGTGATGGACCATGGGAGAGTGATGGACCATGGGAGGGTGGGGACTATGGGAGGGTGGGGGACCATGGGAGGGTGGGGGACCATGGGAGAGTGATGGACCATGTTTAGGGTGGGGGACCATGGGAGGGTGGGGACCATGGGAGGGTGGGGGACCATGGGAGGGTGGGGGACCATGGGAGAGTGATGGACCATGGGAAGGTGGGGGACCATGGGAGGGTGGGGACCATGGGAGGGTGGGACCATGGAGGGTGGGGACCATGGGAGGGTGGGGGACCATGGGAGGGTGGGGACCATGGGAGAGTGATGGACCTTGGGAGAGTGATGGACCATGGGAGGGTGGGGACCATGGGAGGGTGGGGGACCATGGGAGGGTGGGGGCCATGGGAGAGTGATGGACCATGGGAGGGTGGGGACCATGGGAGGGTGGGGACCATGGGAGGGTGGGGGACCATGGGAGGGTGTGGGACCATGGGAGGGTGGGGACCATGGGAGGGTGGGGGACCATGGGAGGGTGGAGGACCATGGGAGGGTGGGGGACCATGGGAGGGTGGGGGACCATGGGAGGGTGGGGGACCATGGGAGGGTGGGGACCATGGGAGGGTGGGGGACCATGGGAGGGTGGAGGACCATGGGAGGGTGGGGAACCATGGGAGGGTGGGGGACCATGGGAGGGTGGGGGACCATGGGAGGGTGGGGGACCATGGGAGGGTGGGGGACCTGGAGAGGGTGGGGAACCATGGGAGGGTGAGGGACCATAGGAGAGTGGTAGACCATGGGAGGGTGGGGGACCATGGGAGGGTGGGGGACCATGGGAGGGTGATGGACCATGGGAGGGTGGGGGACCATGGGAGGGTGGGGAACCATGGGAGGGTGATGGACCATGGGAGGGTGGGGGACCATGGGAGGGTGGGGGACCATGGGAAGGTGGGGGACTATGGGAGGGTGGGAGACCATGGGAAAGTAGTAGGTAAAGTAGGGAAAAGTGGGACTACAACCGACCCTCCAGTTGAGGGATGGCGTGCAAACCCTGTAGAATTTATTATGTGTTTGAAAGTGGTGTACAAATCCCATAGAGTTCGTAGAATTTATTGAGTTTTTTGGCAATAGTTGTAGAGTTAAATGATAAGATATGAGCAAATAACATAAAGTTTAATAAGAATATATGTGTAAATCCATAGAGTTTAACCAAGTTATAGTTTTAGTGCGTAGAGTTTGATCAGAAATAATGAGCCATTCCTGTAGAGTTTACATCCAGTACTGCCTGTTCTCCATTATCTACCAGTACTGCCTGTTCTCTATCATCTACCAGTACTGCCTGTTCTCCATCATCTACCAGTACTGCCTGTTCTCCATCATCTACCAGTACTGCCTGTTCTCCATTATCTACCAGTACTGCCTGTTCTCTATCATCTACCAGTACTGCCTGTTCTCCATCATCTACCAGTACTGCCTGTTCTCCATCATCTACCAGTACTGCCTGTTCTCCATTATCTACCAGTACTGCCTGTTCTCTATCATCTACCATACTGCCTGTTCTCCATCATCTACCAGTACTGCCTGTTCTCCATCATCTACCAGTACTGCCTGTTCTCCATTATCTACCAGTACTGCCTGTTCTCCATCATCTACCAGTACTGCCTGTTCTCCATCATCTACCAGTACTGCCTGTTCTCCATCATCTACCAGTACTGCCTGTTCTCCATCATCTACCAGTACTGCCTGTTCTCCATCATCTACCAGTACTGCCTGTTCTCCATCATCTACCTGTACTGCCTGTTCTCCATTATCTACCAGTACTGCCTGTTCTCCATCATCTACCAGTACTGCCTGTTCTCTATCATCTACCAGTACTGTCTGTTCTCCATCATCTACCAGTACTGCCTGTTCTCCATCATCTACCAGTACTGCCTGTTCTCCATTATCTACCAGTACTGCCTGTTCTCCATCATCTACCAGTACTGCCTGTTCTCCATCATCTACCAGTACTGCCTGTTCTCCATCATCTACCAGTACTGCCTGTTCTCCATCATCTACCAGTACTGCCTGTTCTCCATCATCTACCAGTACTGCCTGTTCTCCATCATCTACCAGTACTGCCTGTTCTCCATCATCTACCAGTACTGCCTGTTCTCCATCATCTACCAGTACTGCCTGTTCTCCATCATCTACCAGAACTGCCTGTTCTCCATCATCTACCAGTACTGCCTGTTCTCCATCATCTACCAGTACTGCCTGTTCTCCATCATCTACCAGTACTGCCTGTTCTCCATCATCTACCAGTACTGCCTGTTCTCCATCATCTACCAGTACTGCCTGTTCTCCATCATCTATCAGTACTGCCTGTTCTCCATCATCTACCAGTACTGCCTGTTCTCCATCATCTACCAGTACTGCCTGTTCTCCATCATCTACCAGTACTGCCTGTTCTCCATCATCTACCAGTACTGCCTGTTCTCCATCATCTACCAGTTCTGCCTGTTCTCCATCATCTACCAGTACTGCCTGTTCTCCATCATCTACCAGTACTGCCTGTTCTCCATCATCTACCTGTACTGCCTGTTCTCCATCATCTACCAGTACTGCCTGTTCTCCATCATCTACCAGTACTGCCTGTTCTCCATCATCTACCAGTACTGCCTGTTCTCCATCATCTACCAGTACTGCCTGTTCTCCATCATCTACCAGTACTGCCTGTTCTCCATCATCTACCTGTACTGCCTGTTCTCCATCATCTACCAGTACTGCCTGTTCTCCATCATCTACCAGTACTGCCTGTTCTCCATCATCTACCAGTACTGCCTGTTCTCCATCATCTACCAGTACTGCCTGTTCTCCATCATCTACCAGTACTGCCTGTTCTCCATCATCTACCAGTACTGTCTGTTCTCTATCATCTACCAGTACTGCCTGTTCTCCATCATCTACCAGTGCTCCCTGTTCTCCATCATCTACCAGTACTGCCTGTTCTCCATCATCTACCAGTGCTCCCTGTTCTCCATCATCTACCAGTACTGCCTGTTCTCCATCATCTACCAGTGCTCCCTGTTCTCCATCATCTACCAGTACTGCCTGTTCTCCATCATCTACCAGTGCTCCCTGTTCTCCATTATCTACCAGTACTGCCTGTTCTCCATCATCTACCAGTGCTCCCTGTTCTCCATCATCTACCAGTACTCACTGTTAATCCTCCACCATC